GATGAGTGTGGGGGGGGTTCCCAGCCACAGGCATTTACCTAACCAAACACAGCTGTCATGCATGTGTGTGTATATATGTGTGTGTGTGTTTGGAGAGAGGGGAGAAGGAGAAAGGGGATTATGGTAACACAAGCAGTCTGGCTCATTCAAATGGGGGAAAACACCACAAGGCTCTGGCTTGTACAACACAAACTCGCTCACACAAACCCTCCACTCCTCTCCTCCTCCTTCTCTTCTCCCCTTTCCACCAGGGCCTCCATCCAGCGAGGGCAGCCAAAAGAGGGGAGTCGGGTCCAGATAACTCCCTGTCTTATCCTAACAGGATTCAGTCTGTACACAAAGGCCTATAAGAATAATGAAAGGGGGTTTGGGAGCACTTGAAGCAGGGTTAAGCGGCGTACACAGCCTCCTCTCTTATGTGCTAAGAGCGTCACAATCCCCCCAGACCCAAAAACAAAGGTTCTAATCACAGACTAGCAACTTAAATACCATTTACCGGTGGACCTTAGCCACTGAGCCGGCCTTAGAGACAGAAGGCTCTCACTTAAGCCGGGATAGCATGCAGTGTTTGTGATTACATGAAAAGAAATAAATAAAACTAAAAACCAAACAGGCTTTGATCCTCTTTGTAAAGAGGCATGACCCAGAATGCCAGACCATAAGATTGTAGTTTTTCGTGCAAAGAGTCTACATTTCCTTTGTGCATCCTTTGCCTAATCATGTGGATAATAGAGTTACTTTTAATGTGCATCGATCAGCCAAAACATTATGACCACTGACTGGTGAAGTGAACAACACTTATGACCACCTGGCACCTGTCAGTGGGTGGGATATATTAGGCAGCACGTAAACATTTAGTCCTCAAAGTTGATGTGTTAGAAGCAGAAAAAATGGGCAGCGAGAGGATTTGAGCGACTGTGACAAGGGCCAAATTGTGATGGCCAGACAACTGCAGCTCTTATGGGGTGTTCCCAGTCTGCAGAGGTCAGTACCTATCAAAAGTGGTCCAAGGAAGGAAAAGGCTTTGGCTGATCGGTGTACATTATTGTATAAATGTTGTACCACTTCATCTATCTTAGCTTGCAAAACCAGCATTTCCCACTTGAAATACAACATAACCACAAACTACCTACAGTATATAGCCTCTGACACAGTGTCAGAAAAGACAATAATCAACCTTCATAAAAGATTTACAGCAGGGCTGTTTCACTGTTCCCATTCTGCTTTTCCCATGTATATTTCATGCACCATACAGTAACAATAATTGCTTTTGTGTTACAGATGAGGTGGTATGTCAAAATAATTTCTTTGCAATAATGACTTTTTTTTTAGCTTTATTGATAAATTGAAGACATAGCTTAACACTGTCATTTTTTCAATTAAACAGTTTTAAGGTTATCTGCCAAATAGCTGGTGTAGGCAGGTTGCACATCGGCTCATGATCTGATGCATTTAAATGCATTTTCGTTATTAAAAATAAATCAAGGTTCAGTAGGTCACAGTTGAGGTACCAACTTTACCTCCGCTTGCGCCAGGAAAAACCCTGAATTTATACCATTTACTTTGGCTTACTTTCCCGAAGTGGATGAGCATCGTAATAGATTATGCAGAGCCTCATTAAATCAACAGCATAGCAAAGAGGCACCCCCCAACCCCCATTTTAAAAAATTCAAATATGCTGCTAGTGTGTTTGCTCAAAGCCCTATGAATGTTTACTTTCACATTTGCGTTAAAATGCTGCTGTCAAAAATCTTGGGAGGAATACGAGATAAGGTCATCCATCTAATCTCTCTCTTCTGTCTCTTCTCCGATTTAGTATCAATGTCAGATGTCTGTGTTCTGGGAAAAAACAGACAGTGTTCGGTGAGAGGCTCATGCCTTCTGACGAGTGTGTCTCTGTGTCAGGTGAGGGCGGGGTGTTGAAAGAGGAAGTGACTCTGTGAAAGGTGGGTAGAGACGGTAAAACAAAGAGGGAGAGGGGTGTCTGGGAGTGCAAAGCTTTGAGTCTAGAGGAGATGACTGAGTTAACCCCACAGGCCTGTCACATCCTATTCTCAGCTTCACTGAGCAAGACAGGGCTGAGGACCAAAAAGGGTGCGAGCGCAGTCACATGCTCCTGGCTAGCTCACCAAGCTTAATGATTTGGAAGGGAGGACTAGGCCAAATCGGACTAATTTAAGGTTGGGCCAGATGCACTCCATCAAACACAACCATCACCTGATGAATCAGTGAGTCATCTAGCCATAGGGAAAGAAGCCAAGGATGGCAAACAAGATTCTAGCCGGCAAAAACGGGAAGAATTTATTACCCGCTTTTTATGCAAACCAAGTTATTGTCGAATAAGAGGTAAAATTAAACAGCATCATGTAATTTCTCTGGTTGGCAAAGAGGCAACCCCTTGACACAAGTAGATTTATCACAGAAACAGAGAAGCGTTTCCAGGCCAACTCTTCTGTGAAACTAAACTTAAGAGGAAATAAGAGAGAAAACAGATGAAGTTGCATAAGGTGCCTCTCACAGCACAAGGATTTTCTTGTTTGGCTGTCGTCATTTTGTCTTCCAAAAATATTTATTCCCCAAAGCCAAATTGTCTTCCACGTGACAGAGGAGAGGGGGTGGTGTGTGTGTGTGTGTGTGTGTGTGTGTGTGTGTGGTATTTGTGTGCGCGTGTTCGCTTGTGTACCGCAGAGCACACAGAAAACGCATTGTTGGCCAGACCCAAAACAACACAGCAGATTGTTTCCCACTGACAAAGAAGGTCTGGTTTCTTATAGTGAAACAGGGCCGATTTACTGCCTGTGGCTTCAAAAAGACTGGAAACAGAAGCCATTCTAAAGAGAGAGAGAAAGAGAGAGAGAGTGCAGCTCACTGAGTAGACAGCAGAAATGTTATTGGCATTATTCAACTGTATAAAGCCAGAGGAAAGAGATAGAGAAAAACCACAAAACCACAACACTGGCAACCAACGACAGTAGGGAATCATTTACACTAAATATAGCAAACTTAAATTATACACTGAGTGATAATGGCCTCTCCAACTTCGTGCAGAGACAACCATGCAAAATGAAGCGTTGCTCTAGGCCTGACAAGCAGCCGGAGTGATAAATAGTCGAAATAAGGCTCAGGTTTCATTAAATAACTGGTCATGAAACTCAGCCCACATTCCTCTACCTTTTGTTAAAACCAGTCCCTAACGCAGTAGCAACAACCTCCGGGAAAAAAAGGAGACCAAGGTGTTGTAGTGCACCATGTATCCTGTTCAATCTCTATAGAGACACCATTAATTCTTTATGGTCTACTGCTGCCCAACCTTGTGTATAGGGTCTCTCTGCAATTTTTCTCCTCATCTTTTGAGTTCAGTGATGCCGACGGAACAGTCAGGGCACTCAGGATCTGTGAATCTCTGAGATGTCTGGCACATTTCTTTGTATATCATCCATCCACAAAAGCCTCGCTCACCATCTGTTACCTGGCCTGGTGCACACACGCAGACCCTACGATTCCTTCTTATGCCTGCAGGTCACAAGTTCAGGGTGAGATAACAAATTTAAGAGTCTCTGTAAACATGCAAAGGCTACACGGAGCAGAGAGTGAAGAGAGCTGTGGACAATGCATGATGTGTAGCTGTGTGCAAGATAAGGATGGCGGGGGTGATTCACCGAGCCTCTGAACTGGGGCATAATGGCATTAAAAACACTGATGGGAATTAATCTGGCTGGAATTTGTGGAGCGTACACGAGCGGGCAGGGAAATATAGGGGGGTGGGGGTGGGGGTGTGTGTGACACAGATAGAAGAAAGACGTACTAAGAGAGAAAAGAGGAGAAAGGAACAAGGGGACAAGGCAAGCGACCACACATGGCTAATCAGATTTTATAGATTGACTGGACTAAAAGGCTGATCTGGCCTTTTGTCCTCCGAAAGGCCTGGAGGTGTGCAGCCCTATGTGTGGCAGGGGGGGCTGGAGGTCAGCGTAAGTTATTGAATGTCTACACGGCCCATGACCATTGTTGTTCTGTCCCCTCACGAGACACAGTCAATGCCTGATTGAAATTGAAATTGATTGGTTGCTTGTAAATCAGTGACAAAAAAGGATGGGGGCCGTGCTCACATGATATACAGTGTGGCTGCTTTGACATGCAGTATGACGTTTTCACAGGCACCATTTTGATTTTATCAGCATGTACCATTTGTTAATGAACTCAATGTCAAATTAAAGATTTCTAATGTTGTTTCACAATGTTATTACACTAAATGCATTAAAAATAGTGTTTATTTTGAAACACATTTCAACTCAGTCTTATTTTTTGTATTGCAATGCTGACATAATTACATAGGTCAAAAACTTTTTTTCGGAAGACTGGCGAAGGAATATTTAGGATACCACTTAGCAGCCTTACAAATGCCATCTCCCACAAATGACGAGAATCCAGTGGACATAGACATATATTAAAATTAAAAACAACTTGGGCCATTTACAGATGCACCCTTGAATAATTCAAAACTGCCCTACATATAGTGTTAAATATGCAGTATTGCCGCCAGCCAAAATCTCTCATCTTTTGGGAGGCCACCGCTTTTAAACCCGTCTCTATTCTAAGCAGAGACATATTCGTGCTCCAGATAGCGGACGTGTAGCCTAGAGTTTCGGGAGGGTGTAATGGCTTGTCTCAGATCTATGGGAGAGGAAGGAAAAGGAGGATTCCCACCCTGTAATTTACTGGGGGCTTTGTGGGCCAACACCCTGGCTTGCTTTGTGCTGATGCTCTTATCCTTTTTGTAGCAAAGGTAATCCAGAAACTGTGGCTTATCAACTACTCCCAAAACACCTGGTGCCACAGATCAGCTGGCACACATCTCTTTATCAAGATGCAATATTTTCTTCAAAAGACTGTAATAATCAAACATCACTCAAGAAAAAATAACCTTAAAAGCCTCAAATGGTATCACACACAAATTGCCTGTCCTGAAAACACACAACTTTGAAAAAAAGACACAGTACCTGTAGTACGAGCGGTTCCGGGTTGAATGCCAAGGTCATGAGCAGCTGCATTCTCTCTGTGTCCTTGAGGTTCTTTAGCAGGAAGCTGCCTGAGTCTTTGGTCTCGGCGTACCTGCGGACCACGCGGTCCAGCAGCCTCTGAGAGGGGCAGTGCACCAGGTCTGACCAGCCCTCCACCACCTCTGGAGTGAGCAGACGAACGTCGCCATTGATCCGGGCAAATTCAGTCTTGTACATTGCCTGGATGAGGTCACAGCGCGGCCTGCCTGTGGCCCTCTTGCAGATTTTCTGGTCTATCTCGGCCAACTCCTGGTTGGAGCCGAGCCGTTTGAGCACCACGCGTCGGGTGCCCTCCCTGGGCTCGCCGTACTGGGCAAAGTAAACATTCTTGACATTGAAAACATCTAGGAATCGTAGGCGACCCCAGGTCTCAAAGGAAACTTGCCCGTTCATGAATTTACGGCACCAGCTGGTGCCAAAGCAGGCGGGACACTTGTTGAGGTTGATGAAGCGTCTGTCAGTGAGCTCATTCTTCTGGAAGGAGGCGAACAGGTTGTGGGTGTTCATCAACAAGATGACAAACAGTCCCACCACCAGCAAGAGCTTCAGACAGCGGTACAGGCGGCCAAGTTTGAGAGGCAGGAAGCGCAGCATGATGGGGACGGGGCAGGGGCGGGGATTCTTGAGGGATAGGGAGGAGGAGAGGTATTGAGATGATCGTCAGGGAGCGAACCTCAATGCCTCTCCGTCATGGTGTACTGGGGTAGCTTCTAAAGCGGCAGGCAGGGGCGAGGTTGGCACAGCTGCCCCGTGCCAGTCTCTGGCAGGGGCCAGTGAGTCATGTTCTCCCTTCTTGGTGTTTGTGTGCAACGGCGAGCCAGCAGGCCTGAAATCAAGCAAAGAAAGAGAGAGAGGGGAACTCATTACATCAGGGCAAATAAAAAAAAAGCAACATTTGATAACACCGAAATTGGCCCTTTTGGTCATGCATAACAAGTGAAGGGAGTTTATTTAATTTTTCTTCTGCAGGGGCTACAACCTGAACACCTGAGTCCTAACATGTGATACCTCCTATATAACAAAGAAGCACTTTCTCTGGCATATGAGATTGTCTCACAAATTTGAATTGCTTGGGTCATTTGAGAGATTTCATTACTTTTTGAGCAGAAATTAGATGGCCCACAGCCAATGCAATAAACCTGCCTGTGCCTGTTTGAGATTTTTCTCTTTGGGAAATCATTTCTTATATACTCCCCAAACATAAGAAAGATAAATAAAAGTATGGAAAAGGGGAAAATAAAGTGTCAGTGATCAAATTAAGAGGAAATGTACAACATCCTCTCCTAGTATAAATAAAATGTGCTGCACTCCGCGGATGATTCCTTGGAGGACCTCCCTCTGTAGCTACAGAAGTATCCATCACTTTTCCTCCGATGCACAGCAAAATAACATGCTGTCTGCATACCTCAAGTTATACCAAGCTCAGAAACCTTGATATTTTTCTTCTCACTTCAAATGGAGAAATCTCACTGCATTGTAAAGAGAGTCACGCTGTGCGTAGTTTAACCTTTGATCAGAGTTGCCCTGCTTCGTTTTAATCGCGCTTTGAAGTTGTTTCTTTGAAAATGGCTGGTGTCACTAAAATAAAGTCTGTGGTTGGGGGGGAATCTGTGAATACCTCCATTAGCTAAATCGATGTCAGCAGAGAAGGGAATAGTAAGAACCAAGCATGGACGAAAGAGACAACAATCTGGGCTCACACTACGAGAACAAAGCTCTCAGAAGCCCCCCCCCTCCAAGTCTGGCCATGATGAAGCCATGTTAGACCCCCCAATCAGCTTTTTAGCAATGAGTAAGTCTTATAAGTCGCTTTAAAAAAAGACAATGACTCAGGCCATGCAAATTAGCCATCCTCAATTAGAGCTCATTAGGACATGCCTATTAGGACAGCCGACTTGAGAGGGCATGGCTAACGAGCAGACACACTAGTGTGATTAGTGTGCATGTCGATGGGTTCCTTGCATTTTGCTTTCAGATCGAAGTGGCTGAGATTTGGAAAAGACATGGGGGCTCGAGGCAGCCAAGAGAGCAGCGGTTTGCGAGAGATGTGCAGCTGTGGAGTGTCAGATAAGAAGCTGAATACACTAGTTCTTACCTCACACCTCTGTCTGAAAATACCTCAAGCAGATCAGGCCAACATCACTAATGTAAAAATAGACCATATCCAAACAGACAGCTGCACTAAATAATTCTTTTTTAAGGAAAATAAAAATATTATTCATGCATTGTTTTCTATTCTTGCTGCAAATATAAAAGTCTAAGCAATGTGACTAAACAGTGAGCAGTGTACCATAAATGAGACGGGGATAATGAGAGTGACTTACTTTACATCACTTAAATAGAAGCAATCCTAAATCATTTTTAAAATCAATTAAACCAACTAAACCAAATAGCCACTCTAAATCTTAAATGGCAATGTTTCACAATTTCCCAAGACATGGGGCAGCATCTATTTATTTATTTTATGATAATAATGAAGCACAAAGAAAATGGCAATGGCAATTTGAAGCTTTTACGAATTAATCATTAGTGGACGCTGTTTGAATGTACCACTTTAGGCTCGCATTAACCTGCGAAATCTCAGAAGCAAAACTGTCCTTCAGTCTGAAACAGCATTTCATTGGGCAATTTTAACAAAGAACCTGTAGGTCCATGTTGAGCCGACTTAAAAAAAAATGCCTCTGGTGCGATAAATAACCAAATAAATGGGAAATCTAACTGGGAAAGAAAGATGCATTGGTACACGGTAAGCAAAGAAACAAAGTCTGTATGACTAACAATAACAATTTCAAGTGAGTCAAAAGGATGTGTGCCTTGTGCCTTCTACTACAGGGAGCGAGAAGAAACTGATTGCTTGAGGGGAAAACTAAAATATCCCATTGCTATAAGATGTTGATTCAAGTGCCATTTAGCATTTGACACAGGCAGTCAAGGCACAGACGTGGCTGCGAGATCTTGGGAGCAGATATGACATATAACTAGGATCAGTAAGAGGCTCAAAGAGGACAAAATACAACCTCTGCCAGGCCGAGAAGATGATCACCTCTTCACCCCTGAGAGAAAACGACAGAAACAGGGCAAGCTGGAACAAGCCCCGAACAAGGCATGGACACAGCAGAGTAATGAGATGCACGAGCTGGCACAGGCAGGATGCATAGCTTCCCCCTGTTCTCCAGAGAAAGTCTCGGGCCTCAATTACCTACAGAGCGTTACCTGGATTATGTCAATAGCCGTACTAATTGCTGGAGTGAAAGGATAAGATACAGGCTGCATTTTCATTCTGTTAACGAGATACAACCAAAAGGTGTTAGAATACTTTAAAATGTTGACAATGAAATGCACGAACCTGCCACCGAGGGCTTATCCTTGATCCTGTACTTTTGTTAAGCAAGAAGCAGGAGAGTATAAGAATTGAAATGCTACTAGATTAGGAGTTTTTATAGTGCTGCTACACACAGTAATACAGTAACTGTGTGAATGAGACCAAAACATTCAGCTTTATTGGAAGGATGGCATGGTCATTTAAGAGGGGGATATTTTTCCCTGGTAATTACCCCCACTAAATTGCTTCTTGTGAATTGTACACCTGCAAAAACATTTATTTAACTCCCTCACTGTCTATTGCCGTATGCCACCCCATGGCTGAGAGTTATTTAATAGGATGTGCAGAGAAGTATAGAGTTCTATGGCAAGGTTGCCTACTCAGGTTTTTGACAAGGGTAAAGTTCACTTAAAGCTATAATCACAGCCAGATGCTTTGTATTCTAACAGATGTTACCCACCGGAATAGAGGGGCAGTGAAATTTAAAGCAGTGTTTTCTTTTAGACGAACCTCATTGTGCCCACAGAAAACTCTGTTTTAAATTAGACCCCCCCCGCATTCCTCCCCCCATGTTGCCTCTGCTCCTTCTGCACTCTTGCAAGAAGGAGGGATGCACAATACCAAGAGGAAACCCTATTTAGAATAAGCACCAAATTACCTCTCATCATACACAGCCACTGCCAAAACTGGGGTAAGAAAGTTTTTCAGCGTACTCAGTCTACAAAGTACTGCGGTGAGCGCTTCGAAAGAGAGGCAAAGAAAAGAGGGCAAATCAAAGGATGCCTGACTCCTCATGCATGGGAGATGAGTCTCGCATTCAAAATGTTCCAAGTTTGGCAGATGTTAAGAGCCGCAAAACGGCTCATTACTGGGACAGAAAAGGCGCAAGATGAAGCAATAGGCCCCATGTTGGCTTAAAACAGAATGACAAAGGTCGAGACAGAAGAAGATGACATCGTAATATCCTAATATATCAACTTTTATTAAATTTAGATTTTGACAGAATAACCCAGATAAGAAAGAAGGAAGTTGAAAAGGAAATTTTCCTTCTTGAATAATCTTTTCCACAGCTCATTGTGTAAAACTGGTTTCAGATAATAGTGTACGAGGGCAAGGCTACTTTCGGGCTAACCCATTTCCTCCACTGCACCTGAGGCTAAACTTCATTATGATATAATGAAGTCAAGCCACACATGAACATGCCTGATTAATTCCACTGGAAATGCAAAAGAGAGTGCGAAGAGGAAGTGGTGAAAGAAACTGGAATACAGTGGAGGAGTTGGGGGGGGGGGTGGAGAGAGAAACAGAGAGAGGAAAGACAAAACCGATGTATAGCTACTGGACAGCAAGGTGAGAGAAACGTATTGCTCTTGTGATGAAGATGAATGGAAAGAGATCACTTGAATACAGAGTAGCAGTTCTCCACCTCTAAATGGACGCGCACACACACACAAACACACACGAATGTGTCTACCCCCGGAGACCACTGGCATTACCACCAAGCCCTACTCAAAGCTCGGAAAAAGCCTCCTCTGAACCACCCCCCTCATCCATTGCAATGTGCGGCTCTAGCTGGAGAGAGGAACTACTGTTGCCAAGGTTATCGACTGGGGGAGTCAATAATGTTTGATCACAAAAACATTCAGCCAAAGCCGAAACGCCTCAGTACAGCAACCACGTAGACAGTGATGGATAGATACAAATGACAGTAACATTCGAATGCCTAATGGAAAATTGAGTCCTCAGAATATAAGCACCAATTAGCAGCATCCCCACATGAACATTAGTCCATTCATCTCTGGCCCAAAGCAAAATGCTAGAGGTTTTAATGAGAATATCAATGGTATCTGCTTTGCGCCAAACTGCCGCAGCTGTTTGGAAGTACACACTTGAACTGGGGGAGACTTGCTCTGGATTCTTCAACTCATAGCAGGTTTGTTTTGTTTCATTTAAACAGCTGCACATTTTCACGAGCCAGCACCACTCTGCAGAAGTTTGAAAAGTTGTCACACATTTAAATCTCATGTTAATGCTATTGCAAAACAAACGTGTCCTCTCAGTGAAGATAGGACTGAACTGATGAAAACAAGCTATCAAAACAAGCTTCAGTTGAAACAAATGGAAAATATGTTCGGAGTTGGTGTGTGTGTGTGTGTGTGTGTTGTGAGGAGGCGGGGGATTAAATTGATTGCCTGACAGACATTTATTATTTCATCTAAGGTCATTCCTTACGTAGCTCCATCTGCCGTAGAAGTTGCTTTAACCAAGAATGATTTGTTGAGTTTTGGAGGTCAAAAACAAAAATATACTGCTCCAGTGGGAGCTTTTAGGCTACAATTACAAGACGTTGCCCTGCTGAGCGCTGAGAAACATTCAAATCAACCACCAGCAGAACGTCTTAAGTGTATCGGTCTATTTTCATTGTTCCCTTGTCGACTAACCTTGCAGAAAGGCTCCACAATTAGTCTCCCGATATGGAAAAATTAATTCTAAGCAGCCCATTCTATTCATTAGACTGCAAACAGAAATTCCTTAGGACTGATTAAAAAGCCTTTTTCTGGACCAAAGCGTACGACTGTTTGGGGTGAATGTTTTTTTCCCTTAAAAGAAATCAAGGGTGGAAGTTTGCAAACAGTGCACAAATCTCAGAAATCTCATGGTCGACTCAATTGAGTTATTACTGCAAATTACGCTTTTTCATGTTCAATGCCTGAGCCTTGTCTAGTCTGATGGGCCAATGGCTCAACCTGCCGTTAGCTCACGCCAACAAGGAAGACAAATACATAGCAAATCAATCCAAATCACGTTGGCCAAGTGGAAACCTGTTGAGGTACACTGTTTATGAGTAATCAAAAACTGCAGTGCCAAGTGAACGGGGAAGCAATGCAAAAGCCTTGTTGGACTTTCAGTGAGCAGATCTTAAATGTGAATTGTGCCTAAAGGGGGAATAAATACTGCTTTAACTTAAGTCTACATCTTAAATAACAAAAAGGAATATATATATATAGATTAACAAAAAAAAAAAAAAAAAAAAGGGACAATACGTTTTCACCTATCATATTATGCACACCTGTCTGGCTGTACAGGCTGTGCATGATGACACCCTCACTGCAGCTTGTGCTTATATACAATATTCTGTATTTCGACATGAGGTTGCGGGTTATGTACCCAAAAGATGGGCAGGACTGATAAATAACGGAAAGATAAAAATAATTCCGCTCTGTACTAACAAGAATGACAACACCACAGGCTCTATTGGAAATATTACAGTTCGGCGGATGCGGGCATCTGATAAGAGTTTGTTGCTAGAAAAAAAAGAAAACAAACTTGTCCTCTAGTGTTTTATCTAATCGGTTAATCATTTCTAAGTGTCAAGCATCCTAACACATACTGAAAACTGTTATTACTTCTAGCTTTATTCCCCTTTATTAAGTCAAGGCTCCAATAAATAAGAGTAAACAGCAACTCCTTTAAATTCAACACTGTGCCAATACCCGTTATTAAAAAGACTCGGCTCCATGTGAGCACGGGCTGCAAAAGAGGAGGACAAAACTGTGAAACAAACCTGTGACTTTTTTTTTTTCCTCTCCTCTCCGGGTCTGTAGTAGGGAATTGCTTAGCGCTCAGTTGATATCATTCTTCAAAGTTGCGGCCACTTACGAGGCGTGCGACGGACACTTTAAATCACCGCCGACAATATCTAGAGCAAAAGCAGCTTCCCTTCAAAGCTCGACGGAGATCTCTATCATGCAAACTCGCCCGGGCTTCCCATGTCTAGCTCCTGGGGTATCTTAGCTCAGCTAGCCTGCTAGCTGGCAGAAATAAACAGTTGGGATATCGAGTCTTAACTCTTCATATACCGGCTCTTTCCGACCGGACGACGCGGTCCTCTTCACAACAGACAACGGCGTCCGTGTCGTGCGTTAACGTCCATATCTGTCCGCGTACCATGAGTCCCTTTGTGGTCACCAAATTGCCCTCTTTTCTTCTTCTCTCTGGCAGCAGCTCACTCCTCTCCAACACCACAATGGGTTCTGTTTCGACTCTTTTCAACACCAGCCTCTTTGCAGTTTACGACACCCGCTGTCTGTTTACGGCCGCGGTTGCTAAGCGATTGTTCTAATATTGTCATGTCTGAAACGCCGCCCCCGGTGCTAAGTTTGCCCAAAATGTCTATTTTTTAACCAGCTTAAAAACAATCTCTTAATGGAGAATAGTAGTATAATATGAAATTAAAACGTTCACCTGGACGCTAGTTAATGTGATCGGAAATAAATGCTGACATTTGGGGATTAATATATTTTGTTTTTCTTTATCAGACGACATAATTCAATTGAAAGTTTAGATTTATCTATACACCATCAACTGTGTCTGCCATAGGATTAACGGGATTAATTCAACCTTCTTAAATTCAGTGTTTAATTTTGCGGCCAAGGGGCAAACCACATGTATCTAGGCTTTTTCTTAAATGAATGTTATTATAATTATTCTTTTACATTTTTACTATTTTTGTACGACAATAGAAGTAGATGAAAGATCAGAATAAGTCATTACAACCAAACGATTAATTAATCCATTAATGAACTGCTAATTAAGGGCCATAACGGATTCACTTAGAGCTAAGGGACCGAGAGTGGAGGTTCAATGTCCTGCCTCTCACTGTGGTCTTTGAGGAGCTATGCGTGCATTAGTGTGTATTTACCGCCATCTGCTGGAAAGCAAGAGACTGACACCCAATGAGTGGTGCCTTAAGGTACTTTGGGAAATATAGAAATTATTGTAAAAAAAAAATAGAGAAGACATGACATAAGCCGAGTAATTCGGAAAATGTGATTTTGTTTTTAAACGTCTAACAGGCTTTCATTTCGGGTCTCTAAACGCATGGTAATTAGTTATACGTTTGCTCTTGCATTTTAGCACGCCTCATACACATGTAGCAAAATTGTCTTACGCATTATATCACATGATTTAAAAAATAAGGTTATGCTAAGCAAAATATTTTCATAACATAATCACGTTTTTTTTTTCATAAATGCGACAAATAACAAAACAAAACAACAACATATAGGGGCAATTCCCCACCTGTGAAAGAGAAATCAGAGCTTTCCGAGGGCAAGTAAAGGCAGCACGGGCTCTGGAGCGCTGCTGATTGCGGATGTTGCTGGTGCTGAACTGAATCAAAAGTCGAGCAGTTTTTTCCCACAAGTTTGACTCAGCTTTGAAGATGACGGGCGCTGTGAAGCACAGACATGACAATGCAACAGCATTGGAACTCGCTGCAATTGGCCTGGCACTTATAACCATTCTCAGTGTGTGGAAGTTAAAGCAGTTTAAATATAAACTTCTAAATGAAACTGGAGGTGCAATGTTTTATGGTAAGTTGCCTTAACTGATTGCCTATCTGGAGAGCACGGAAGCCGTTGCTCAACAGCACTTCCTGAACTCACAGTTGAAATAATAAATCTTTTTTTTTTTTTTTTAAAGTATGAAGATAGTTTTGGTCACAGTTTGTCGAATTTAGATAGGAATTTAAAGGAGGGCCACATCATATAATTTAGCTTTATCCACCATTTGTTCTGGAGTTTAGACTTACTAATGATAAACATAATGTTGGAAACAATTTAACCAACAGCCACTATCAATCTGAGCTCAAACAATTGCTCACAGCTAAAGGAAATCAGGGATAAGGATACTTTAAAGGTATGACATGTGATTGACATTTGTATATGTGGGTGATTATTTAGCCCTGTGGTGATAAATTGTACTTGATTCGACATTTTAATATAGCCTACCATTACACCAGGGTACATGAATTGCCAGGTAGCTCCAGATACCATAAGGGCTCACCAACTAGCAGTATACTTGGCTCTTGCAATATTTAAGTTGACATCAATGATTCATCACTATAATAGCATGATATGTAGATCATTTTCCTAAATGTGCTACATTCATGGCCTTAAAGTGGGATTCTTGTCTTTTTATCTTCCATAGGACATATAGTGGCTCATATATAGTGATTCATTTACTTGTGGAATATTTTTGTAATATCTTTCCTAGATGTAAGATGTGAAAGGATTGCAGAAGTTCTCATAACATTATTTATTTTTTGTTCTGTACAGGTATGCTCATGGGGTTAACAGTGAGATACTTGTCACCTGCACAGGGAGAACACGGGGACGATGTGGCGACGATGTGCAGTTGCGGTGGTCTTAATAGCACTCCTCACATCTTGACAGTCAACATCACATCCCATTTTCACAGTTACAGACATACTGCAAAAGTCAGCCAACGATACCCACCGGTCTCGATCCATCATACGGTAACTATGGCAACTTTATTCTGACCTGCACTTCAAGTACACGTTACAGAAGATAATCTTTTATGTACAGGTTGTGACACAACAGAGACACTAGCTGTTAATCAATATTACATAGGGGACATGTGAAAACAAACTGCACCATACAGGAGCCTTTCCTTTCCTCTGATGTAGTTTTATTTAGTCTGAAATAACAGTTTTTTTTCCTTCACTGCCTTTCCTTTGATCACATCTATATTTTGTCCCCTGTGTATGTTGGGTATTTACATCAACAGTTTCCTCTAATGGTTCTTAGTTATTGGGTTTCCTCTAAATTACTTGCATGGTCTGTTTGTTGTTAAGGAATCAAGAGAGTGGATGGTACAGAGAGAAAGAGAGCAAGAGAGCAATTTAACCTATATTGAGCATTTATTAAGGAAGAGATAGGGGAGATTACATTTTCAGGTGTGCTGTGCGGACAAAGGGAAATGAGCAGACAACTTAACACAGAAACCAATAAACAGACTGTAGTAGTATAGATAAAGCAACACAAAGGGTCCAATCAATAAGCAAAAAAAGGACTTTATATAAACATTTTCTTAAAAGCATGCTCCTGCTGACAACAGCAAACATAAACAGTTTGAATACAATCAGAGAACCCAGTTTATTTAGTCTTGAAAGGTGTGTACCTCTCAAGACATTTTTGTGTGTTTACATGCAGAATTTCCATAATGAGATGCTCTTGCAAGTGACATTTGTTGCCGGGTTGCTCTGCACTGCAGGGAAGGATGTGAGAGAGTTAGGTGATCTCAACAGGCACTGCAGCTTTTTTCCTGTTAGATGGAGATCTCAGCCTGTGACACAGAACACACTAATGGATGTGAATGTCTACCATCTGTTATAAAGTGGAGGGGACTGTGACACTGTGAACAATATTCCATACATTAATGTTTTCTCGCACTGCTGTTTATGTTTGATGCTGATTTAATTGGCTCTTACTGGCTTTTATGAACCGTGCTGACTCAAACAGAGCTTTGGTTAGAATTTTGTAATTAATGTCTGTAATTAAGAAACCTTACCTAAGCCCCGCCCCTTTTTGTTCTTCCTCCTTTCTTGTACTCTCATGTGCTAGGCTCATCTATGTTGTATGTCATCTATTGTCTATGTAAGACAACCACATTTTAACCCTTGTATTATGTTAAGGGTCAATTTGACCCATTTCAGTTTTTGTGTTGATCAAAGTACTGGTTATCCTTTCTTTTTCTTGCTGAAATTTGGTGACTTTTCCTCATCTAGGGTCATTAACTGGTGTGTAAAATCTGGACACTTTGATGTGTAGTGGAATGTCTGTGCAGAGTTGGTATACAAAGATGATGTTGCGGGTCATTTGACCCAGACGCTTTAATGTGGGTAAATAGCTGTTCAGATCCAAAATAAACATGTCTCTTTGATGTACTTTTTACTTTATATATATACAATATACAATTGTTTGTATTTTGATTGCCTCTGAGACCCAGAGCCAGGTGTGTGAAGAGAGGGAACTTTCTCACACTTGTCCTTGTCACTGTTCTCATGTCATCTCTTTGACAAACTCACCAAAAATGAGCTCCAGAAGGATGACAACTGAGGAGGCTTTATCACAGATTTTTAACTGGGATAGTGATGTAGAGGAAGAGATTTCAGAAACAGAGGATTTTTCAGAGACAGAGGACACTGTTATTGCTGATCCAGATTGTCAATTTTCCTACGATGAGGAGGATTCAGAGGAGGAGTCTGCCGTTGTTCCTCAAACAGATGAAAACCAAGGAATGCAGCAATCATCATCCACAGAGGGGACATGGGCATCTAAGGACGGTAATATAAAATGGTCCAAAAATCACCACACCCAAGCCGAGGCAGACTATCATCTTCCAATGTGATCAAAATGACTCCCGGTCCTACAAGATTTGCTGTCACACGAGTTGATGAGATTCAATCAGCATTTCAGCTCTTCATATCCCCTCATATCTTAGCCCTTGTGCTTTCTTTGGTCAAGGAAGGAGGAAGGGAGGAAGGAAGGAAGGTAGGAAGGAAAGAAGGGAGAAAGGAAGGAAGGAAGGAAGAGAGAAAAGAAGGGAATAGAGGAGGATGAACAGAGAGAAGGAAAACAGGATGAGAAGAAGGAAGGAGAGAGCATGGCAGGAGGAAAGAAGGAGGGAAGAATTGTCATTTTGACCGAGAGGAGGACAAGAGGATTAGACTAAATATTTCTTAAATATGGTGTTGGAATTAAAAATGTATTGTATGTCACTTTTCTAAATGTTTATATAACCTAAAATAAAGTTGTTATTGGTTTAACCTGTTTTCTTGACTGTTTTGAGTGCATTTACACAGTACGGGTCAAAATGACCCGCAACATAATCAATGTCATTTTTTCAACATAATACAAGGGTTAAAGACGGTTAAAAGATTTTAAAAAAAAATAACATGTGATTGACATGTTCTAATATGAGATGATCAGATGTAACCATGACTGATATAAATGAACTAGCCTTTTGCTAATGTTAGCTAACTTAAGATAAGACTGTATATATGTTGTTTTAACATTTTAACCATCAAAACTTTCAACATATATAAGCCTAGCACATAGCATATCTAAGTACAGGAAAGGACAACGTTTACAGAGGTTTTGACTGAGGCTTGCTCAACTGTTAGTGTCTCTAACATCATTTGGTTTCTATTGGAAGCATGAAATTGAATCTCTTTGCTAATTTATGTTACACATTTATAGCAGAAATATAATATAATATACTCCATACAGTTTATTGGTATGTTAATGTTAAGACTGCACTGATAACCTTTAAAATATACTTTATACCTATAATATACTATATTTTTAATATAATAAATATCCAGTCAAAAACGTGTTCTCAACCAAAGAACAAGAGATTTTACTTATTAAGAGTTTTCTGTTTTTTAATACTGAAGGTCTCGTTTGAATTCTAGGTTACAAGGATTATTAAGTACATTTGTATCATTTTTTTGTCACTGAGGTAGAACAGAAATAATGTTAGAACTAGACCTTAAGCCAGACAACTACTTTCAGCAATTTTTTGCTATAAAAAGAATTAGTTAGAGACTCTAATATCAGTGTTAAGTAGCAGAGCATAAGCCTTGAGATGGGCCACTGTTGTCATTAGTATCACTGTTTTCTGGCTCGCTTTCATATTTTAACAGCGCTATCAGAGAGATTTGTCATATCAAAGAAACCAACCAACAAGCCCGGGATTCAGCCACATCATGGCCAAGAAGCGTGAGAGGATGTGGAATGAGTATATTTGAAAATGTAATTCTTCATCTCAGAGCAATGTTTCAACCCGAGTAAAAGGGAGTAAGTGAACCATGAACCTTGCAAATCATCCAGGCCAAGTGTAACTCTTCACTAATGGCTTGGACTCTTTGGCCCCCTTTGAATGCTGGGGTCTCATTAGCAAACCAGCAGAGGCTACCACAAAGGCCATTACATCGGTAAGACCATTCTGTGTAGCCTTCACGCCATTAAGTCTGATACATATGGGGACCTAGCAGAGAGAGATAAGGATTTCATTGCATTACTGAGTCCATTATGTTCCACTGGGGAGTAAGGCATTAAAGTTTGTGGTCTGATTAAATTTAGTGCTGCTCAGCTGAAGAGGCAATTAGTGTATACAACACACCTCCATCCTCGACTGTGTTGTGCAGGTGGCCCTTAGAATAAAACCACCAGCATATGCATAATTGATTGATTTCAGTGTCTGTATTGGTCTCAGTTATGCAGTTTTGTATTTGTCATGCACAGCCTGCACAGATGGAAAAATACATATATATTGTGCTGTGTTGGTAATTGCAGCCTCAAAAAGGTTCTTTATATTGAGCCATGTGTCAGTAGCTGAAGGATAGGAGCAATTTGTAGCTCTAGCAACCATTTCAAATGTGAATTACTGAGAAAACTTGGTGGTTCTCCAACCTATATAGGGGTTTTCCGGTGTTACAAATTATAATTTAAAAAAAATCTTACAGATGAAGGCTTATTTTCATTCATTCAAATAATCGTGTTATTCAGCCCGCTTTAACCTTGTGTCTGTTAGTAAAAAAGGCCTTTCTCTAAAGGTCTGTGAGCGCAGCCATATTTCTGCAAACATCATCACCACATCTCTCTATTTGGCCTGAAATTTAATTGAATTGAAATTTAATTCCTAGCAATGTAATGAGACCTTGTGGGATGAAGGAATCAGGAAAAAGGTTGCACTGTTTTGATCTGAATTGAATATCACTGCCGTTTGATCTTCAGATTGTACATACAATAGACATAAAAAGGATTCCAGGATGAAGAACATGAAAGGCTACCTTTCTGAGCAGCTAGTATTACATCATACTGGCTAAGATGAGAAACAGACAGAAAACGTGCACAGTATGTTAAAAAAAACAACACCCATACCTTGGTTTCTGTTTGTGTTAAAGGTAATATATGTTGCTGTTATCAGTAGCTTGAATTGCGTTTAATGTTAATAACTAAACTAATATAATAGGATAAACTAAAATGTACATGCTTGTTCCCAATCTAATGAATGCTTGGAGCCTCTATGGTGAGGACTGATGCAAGCAGTTAGACTTTTCACTTTGTATTATTCTTTTCTTTAATAAGATGTGGAAGTCTGAGTCAGGGCACTTGGATATAATGCTAGTGCAGTACACAGTAATTACATTATTATATTAATATTATAGGCATGGCTTTAAGGTGAAGTAATGCAACAAGCCATACTAAACTTTTAATGTTTTCTGCTTAGGGAAATTTGTAGCTTTTCCTATAATGTAGGTTAATGTTTTATGTTTTTTAAGGGGCAAAGTTATGATTTTTCCTATGTTTTATGTATTTTCCTCCCAACTACAATGCTCGTGGGTGGGAAAAAAAAAAACTTGAACATTGGCACACAAGACTGGAATGTCACACTTTCCCATTATTCCTATTAACAGCACGCAATAGTTTTCGTTTAGTTTTTTAGAAAAAAATGACAGTACAGTATAAGGTTGCTGTGGTACCTGGAGACTATTGTGACATTGAGAAAAAAGAACTTGTTCCTGTCTGCCAAAACAGAGCTGCTGAAGTGAACGATGTGTGTGTAATATCTGTCTGTCAGTCAGTCACACTGAGTAAACGGAGTCCTCTCACTCCCCACGGAGCCCTGTCAGTCACCAACACAACAGTTCTGTCTTTTACAGGAGAACTTTGATCCCGAGGTCCTTTTCAATCTGTTCCTGCCACCCATCATCTTCCATGGAGCTTACACCCTTAATCAGGTAATACTTCTATCCTGACATGCCTCCAAGTAGGTGAATCAAAGGATTTCTTCCTTTTTTATGGATACTCACATAAGTGTTGCCTTATTGTGTGCGCAGCTATTTGTTACATGAAATTTAAGTAAACGTGTTGCATATTGTTGACCTGTTTGTTTGTTTGCTGTTGTTAATTGGTGTTCCCTTTTTATTTCTGTCCAAGAAACGATTCATTGAGAATCTCGGATCCATTCTGAGTTTTGCTTTTTTGGGTACCATAATCAGCTGTATGACCATTGGGTAAGATTTATTTATTTTTTGTTCATTCACAATAAATGGACACATCAAACAACACAATAACACACACAAAATGAAGGTGCAATGTACAATAGTACAATAGTGTCCTGAAAACAGTGGCTTTTCACATAATAGCATCACAAGATATTTTGGTTTCATTCTAATTCATTTATAAAATACATCATGTCTGACATTTTCAGAGATAGAGCAACAAAGTCCTGGATTTATTTCAGTCCCTCTCCTTGGTGATAACACAGTCCTTCAACCTCTGTCAAGATGGATACAGGCATTCAGTGTCTGACATATTATTATATAAAATATTATGGAGTAGAAACTAAAGATGTAGAAATTATAATCATAGGAACAATCAATAAAAAATGCTATTAATGGTACATTAAGCTGCATTTCATGTATAGACAGTTACATTGCAATAGAAAATGCAAAATAGTTAATTTTCTAATTCCCTCTTCTTTATTGTCACATACATATGTTTTTGTGTTTCGATCATGTTGAATTATAATTGTGTTCATTTTCAACTAACATGTTCAGTTCAGTTTTCAGAAATGATACTTTTTAAAACATTACCTCCATATTATGCCATTTGAAAATTAACACGTTGCGTCCCAGTACGTAACTGGATACTATTCGTGTACAGTATATACTAAATACTAACTGTTGTAGCATATTGTTTTTGCAGTTAGTATATAGTACATTACATCAATATAATTTACTATTTTTACTAAGAAGTTAATTGTTTTTTACAAAGATTGAATGAAGCTCCTTCAGGAGCTGTGTCATTTAACTCAAGCTGTGAGTAGATCCTTTATTTGCTCAGTGCATTGCATTGTGGTATAATGAGCCTTTTTGTCATAGCAGGAAAAGCACAGGTGAAACTAATAACATTAATTACTACTTTGTTTCAAGTGACCCAGTAAGACAGTGAGTCAGCGTGCCCAATAACAAGGCCCTTGAACTGAGTGACACACATGAAATAGAGTCATCATTAAGGTTATTAATCACACCTGTGCTTTTTCTACTATGGTAAGTCAAAATGTCTGTTATGAACTAGTGTATAGTGTATGCCGACAGCCCACTTAAAAATTAAGCATACTTAACATAACCCTCTAAATAATGAAAATCTGCTTAGCCTTAGTATGTATGGAACTGGGACATAGCCGCTAGTGTGTAGCATTGCTATTCTGGTCTCACAAAGCTAGATGGCACCCTCAGACTTTAGAAGAAATTGAGCTGTTGGACTGATGCACTAATGTGCACACAGAAAACCTCACAGCTCTAGTGTTGTTGTTTTCCTGTTAAATCTCCAGGATACTATTATTATTATTATTATTATTATTATTAATTGTTGTTGTTGTTATTATTGTTATTATTATTATTCAAATCACACACAGAAATATACACTCAGTGGCCACTTTATTAGGTAAATTTAATGTAGTCCAGTACAATGCTAATTACTATGATAATATAAAATGTTTTAATATGTTTTATATTCTCCTTCTCAAAGCCGCCACTGGGTTTAAAATTTACTTAATGTGCTTGTTGTTTATTCATAACATTATTTCCGCTGTCATATATAGTTGCTAACTGATTCACAATGTTTTATATCCACGGAAAAGGTTCATGCCCTCTAGATATTATTGCTGGAACTAATGGGCTTCTGCAACCTGCTGAAATGCAGTGTAATAGATGTTGTCTTTCCTCCATTCACCGGGAGAAGGACTCCCTTTTGTCAAACACTCCTCAGTTCCCCTGAGACGCCAGGCAGGGTTTGACATGTTGGGTCACGTGCACATTCTTTAATGCTAAGGCACCACACCTGACCAATCCTGTTGCCTGTTAGTGAATCTGCCGTATCCTATGGGGAAATGAGAGCCTCAGGGGAGTGAGGGAACCTTACTGACTCAATTGGCAAAGTACATCCCCTTCCTCTCTTTCTGTCTGTCTGCCTGTCTCGCTCTTTCTTTGTCTGTGTATGCACACACACGCACACACTCACTGAACATCATTACCATAACCTCAAATCTCCCTTTAAGATACACGAATAAGACAGCTTAGTTGCTCAACCTGAGGGCAGTACTTTAAATCCTGGCCTTGGGGACAGGTCGTGTGCCATCACCATGGTAACAGAGTTATGCCAATGGACAGAAAGGTTCCTCAGAGGACACACTGGCATACTGATTATTATGGGATGCCTCACAGTAACAAGATTAGTGCTTAACACACATCCGTTACCAGTCAATAGCTGGACTACAGTGTTGCTGAATGCTGAATGGGCATGTTAGTAAGTTTTTTGCTTATTTTTATAAGGGAGAGCATACAGTGGTGTATTATCGGACAGTTACATTTTAGATTTGCTTCATTGCCATGTCCCAGAGCTTATATTTTTGTTGCAATGCCCTTCACAGAGTCATGATTTTTAGTCTTTCGGGTGATTTTGCGCACACACACACGCACACACATACACATTCAGAATCCTGGTGCCCTTTTATTATGTCAGAGCGCTTTTAATACTGTTGTCAGAATGCCAGAGGTGAAGATAGATAGGTGCTGAGATAAGCTGTCTAACAAGAGTATTTGTCATGTGTGGGCGTGTTATGCAGGTGGGTGTGGGAGATCCACACACACACAAACACCTATAAATGTGGTTAAATTTAAAGCTACCCAGCAAAGTCACAGCTTTACGTGTCCACCTGTGCTAAGCAGCCGCTGCCTAGAAACGGGTCAGCTCATGTTCTGGTAGTGTCTGGCCCCATTACCCAGGCTACTCTGGGGGAAGCCCTGCTGTGGTTAGAAGGATGACTGATAGGCCTGCTCCAGCCAGCGCTCCCTTATGACCTCACTGTGTGTCCTTCTGTTTGTTTGTCCTCAATCCCAGGGCCTGCGTCTATGGCTTCACCAGACTGATGGTGCTGTTGGGCCAAGCAGCAGATGGAGACTTCTTCCTCACTGATTGCCTGATGTTTGGTGCCATTATATCAGCCACTGACCCAGGTAGATGGCATAATAAAGGACATCCTACAGTCACTCTCATCACTTTTAGTAGTAGTACTGATTTTTTAAAACACTACTGGTTTTATACAGATATAAACCTGTGACTCCTCTTGCAGAATTTTACTCTCCTTTACAAGACTCACATTGCTTTACAACACCAAATATTCTCAGGAATGCTTGGCACTTGCTCACAGTGAATATGTTGCAGGCACATCACAGGAATCTGCTTTAGTTAAACTCATACAAATGAGTTAAAGAAAAAATATCATATATAAAAAAGATGCACGGTGTGTGAAGACCGTTCAACCAACTGTAGATTTATTTATTTATGCAGTTTCTGGGTTATCAAACAACACGATAAGTTAACTTGACATAATGTGTTTAGAAAGGTCAAACCTGGCTCATGCTGTTTTTCCACTCTCTGTACCTATTTTCTTATTGCACTCATGATACTGTCAGGTGTAGATCTATGTGTGGCGCAGGCTATGAAGATAAGATTTAACATTGTGATGTTACTCTGCTTGGACATCCCTCTCTTTCTTCGTCTACATACCTTTGCACAGTGATGGATATCAGAGAATTGATGTAACTGCTGTGAAGTCGGTGCACCTTTTTCCTTAGTGGAACCACAATATAATCTGTGTTCTTCAAGAGCAGTCAAGTGGGATGCCATAAGGCATCCTGCGATGCCGCGACAGGGGCAATGTTAATGTCCTCATTTGGTAATGAATTATGTATACCAATAAGTGGTTGATCTGGGTGAGTGTCAAAGAGGAGCTGTAAATCATGGTGCAGCTGCCTCTCTGACTGGCGTTATTTTCCCTTGCTCATCCCTGCTGACCCCAGCGCCCTCGTTACTTTGATTAGAATCACAAAATGTAGTGCATCGATGGCCCAAACACCAAGACCCCTAGGCTGTCTCTCCATCTCGTGCTGTCCAAATATAGAGCCGGCTCTCTGATTTTCTGAAAGGGAGCCATTAAAATGTCCCTGTCCATTACTCTCCTTTTTACATTTGCATTCACAGGGGCCAAAAGCAGCAAGACACTCCAGAAACAGGCACAGACTTATTCTCACACACATACATAGGCACAGTGACTCTCTCAAATAATTTAGTGCTGAGGAATAAAGCTTTTTGTCCATGTCATAACCCTTGTGTGACAGCTCTCTCGTTTTGTCGCTGTCTTATGATGGAGATCTTGAGAACACAGGAAGTCAGTCAAGCTTTGAGTGTAATGGAAGCCCAATTTATTTGCCACTTTGCTTGCAATATGGGATATAACAGAGGTAGCTGACAGGCAAGGTTCTCATCCCAGCTATAATGGATAGATGAAATGAATGCTAATTCTGAGAGTAGCAGATAGCAAGCAATAGTCCTACATATGTGGATGTTGCCATTGCTAGTATTGCTAGTTACTGTGTTATTTTTTTTACTAATCTGGATGGTGCTAACATTGAAGACGCCAAAGTTATTTCCTCTCTATAGTTTCTAACATTCTTCAATTATAGATAAATTACACATGTTGGCCTTTTTTAAGGCTGATGCTAGTAGTTTTAGAGGCAGTATCTTTAAATATGAGGAATATTTCTCTCCCAGAATTATGTTTTTGGCAGTGTGGAGGATTCTCTCAAGCAGCATTTATTCCATTTTGTAGGGAGATATTTATTACCTTCACCAAGGAGGTTTGTTTTTAGTGCCGTTTGTTCATCTGTCAGCAGGTTTACTGAAAAACTTGGTGGAAGGTTGAAGCGTGGGCCAAAGAAGAACCCATTAAATTTTAGAGCAGATCGGAATCAAAATTATTTTTCACTTTCGTTAACATTGCAAGATGAGTCAGTTGTAACACCGATGTCTATGGCAAAATTAAGTGAATTCATTGCACATGCACAAGCCACCTCAAACACCACTGTAGAAAACAAACAGCTCAACACGTCAGTATTACTAAAATCCTGGCTATGACCCTGATTTCTTCTCATGTTCCAAAGACATGTTACTGATCTGGTTGTTTGAAGACTCTAAATTAATATCATTGTGAGTTTGTCGTCCCTATATGAGTGAGGGATTGACTGCAGCTATTTGTAGTAATGGCACCAGCAGATCTAAAGGTAGATACAGTTGTAAACAGCATCTCTATGTTTACATTGCTTTTGTACTTACTAGAGCTTTATATTCTCTTATGATATACAGACAGAAGCTATTTGAGAAATTGAAGATTTTATCAATCAGTTTGTTTACTCTAGAGACAACCAATGAGTAAAGTGTTCTAGTCTTTAATATCCCTATTGATTTGAAAATACGTAATTAGGCACAAATGTCCCTAGCATGTAGTTATTTGTTCCTTTCAGCATTGCACCTATTGATTTTTAAATTGTTGGTTTTATACAAACCCCTGAAGCTCTGTAGCCAACAAACCTGTTCTTCTCCGATTCAGAATAAGACACATGGTTCAGGTCACAAAATGGAACGCCTGCTGCGCAGTATCCTCTAGCCTCAGGGATGCTTACTAAAGGTCGTTGAAACCCTCACTTAACATCTCAAAGGAAAGACTTTTTTGGAGGCGCTGAAGTTTTCCTTTCATCTTTGAGGTTGTACTTATTTATGGAGTTCTCTTGAACACTGCACATACATATTTCTCTTTCAGTATGTCAGAGCTGGAAATTATGTCAGAGTTGGCAATGTCTTGTTTACATCTCTGACATCTGTTTACATCAGTTGTAGCAGTAACTACCCAGATCTAAAGTGAATATTGAAAATACAAGTAGACATGTATGTGCACATGACTCAATATTCTTACTATATTATTGCAACATAATTGAGTCTTAACTGTCACAAACTCTGATGGGTGACTTGTAACACCAACTAGAGAAAGACAAGCATGTAAATTCTTTGATATCTTTATTTCTGTAAGGCTCTAATTGATAAAAAAGAAGCACATTTACTCTACTTTCCAACTGCTTTAAAAAGGTAATTAGAATTAATGGAGATTTTAAAGAGACCTTATCCTGACATACCAAGGAACTACTGTGAGATACAGACTTAACAAAAAATAAACCGTAAAAAACCCTCAAACTAATTATAAAGTGCTTGTTTGCTTGCTTTTAAACTGTGAGAAAGGTTTTTCTGCTGCAGCCTTGTGACCCCTGTTTGCGCACTTGTCAACACCTAAAAATTTGAGCACTTTTCACGCGGAGCTGGAGAGATTACAGTAATTCCCTGTTGACCGTTATCTCTTTCCTAATGCATCGCTTTCAGTATTATATCTGCCTAATTTGGTCAAATCAGTGAGCAAATCCCATGCTCTCTGACTGAGATGGCCGTGAGCTTTGCCTCCACTAAACCTCTGCAGCAGGGTAATTTGACCTAATAAGGCTTCCATTCGACCCTTTCAACTGTATTATGTCTGAAATAATTGTCTACTCTCTCCACCTTATGGTGTTGCTGTGGAAACTGATGAACACTTGACAGCTGTAGGACTGGGTTGCCATGACAACACAGCCAACCCGTATCCGTGTGTGTGTGTGTGTGTGTGTGTGTGTGTGTGTGTGTGTGTGTGTGTGTTTTTGTGGGTGTGTGTATGGCGTTGCCCCCATCTTGCAGTGTGACTGGTGCACGACATGCTGTCATCAGCCAGGCATTATGGGAGCAGGGAGATGGAACAATCCTGACTCCAGGGCCTACCTCACCCTCTCCAGATAAAAGATTTTCCCCAACCAGGAAGCGCTTTAAACCTGTCAAAGACCAAAGAGCCAAATCTGTCAAAACAAGTCCTGAGGCTGCTCTCTTGCCGCTGCTCTTATTGTCAGTCTGGTCATATACTGACTGCGATGCCCTCGCTGGCCTGTTATTCACTACAGGGCCAAATGCTGCTATCAGAGTAGACTCATTATTCATATCACAAATTTCCCTGAAACTAATTTATAGGATTCTTTTTGCATCTTGGGCCTCAACAGGTGGAATATGAATCTCCCAGGAGCTGTTATTGTTTTAAATAATATTGTTTGGCCTTCAGAATGGCACCACGGTTCTCATTTCCATGCCTATATCCTCATGAATGTGTTTTGTGTGCGTGTATATGTGTGCATTGTTTTTCTCCATATCTGACATTGGTTTTTTTATATGATAATTTTGTTTTGCTTGTTTGAAATGCCTGGTTTCTCTTGTGGCGGTTACAGTAAGGATTTGTGACAGTACATTTGTCCTATCTACTGTATTTAGATACTGTCTATCTATGTACCCATCAATCTATCTAATCTAATAGATTGTAATCTAATCTAATGTCATCTTCATATGATGTAATCTAATCTACAGTATCAGTAAACACAGAGCCAACAAAGGTACAGTCGATATCTTTCAGGAGATACCTGCGGTGTCACAAAGTGCGGAGCTGACAGGCACGTCACCACCTCGTCCGTGTCAGTATTCTCCTTGTCACTCACTGTCAACACTTACTCGCCCTGCAGTGCTGAGCATGTTGTGTGTGCACACGCTCATTCATATGCTCAGCATCTTCCGCTTGATGTTTACTGTTGGTGAACTCACCGTGGAGTTCGGCTCATATTCCTCTCAACAGATGCAGTGTGTTGAGAGATGCAGCTGTATAAATAAATGAGTAATAAGTTGTTCGTATTTTTCGCCACAAATATGAATTTCATCACAAATGAGCTGAGAAATTGCTCTTCTGCACATGATGTGGGATGCAAGTTAAACGTTGCTTCTTCATTAAGATGAAGAAAAAAGTGTAGAATACCTTATTAATACAGCATACGTTTGCCTTTTACTGATTACTGGTTTCAAACTGCAACCACTGTCAACATTCAACATTCAGTTATATTTCAGTTATTATACATTTCACATATGGCCCCAAAGAATGCAAGCTAACTCTTTATCAACTTAAGTTTCTGCCACTCCCTGTGCTATGAGCCTTTTACTACTAATCCAACACTGAAGGCAAATTAAATGTTATTATGAGAGAATGAGCAAGTAAGGCACAAAAGACACAGATAAAGTGCAGAATTAAGGGTTTAATTTTCCCAGGTTTCACTGGCAGCCGTTTGAAATTTTATATTTTTAAATGTGGGAAATTGTTGCCCTTCAGCGTCTCAGCTCATCTGGGTTTAAACCAGGATTTTTCCTGTGATCTGTAACCTCATATTTGTTCTTCCTCGCGGCACCAAAAAAAGGAAACAAAAAACATGGAACATCTTATACTGCAAAATGAAAGCCAATTGGACTTTCTGTTACATAGTCTCACGATGTTTTGCCTCTAATCTAAGAGGTTTCATCAGCTCTACTGATTCGTTGGGGTTTACCGGCATTTAACCGCTATAGCTGACTCACGCCTTGACATCCTGTAAGAGTTGAATCTCCAGAGGTTACAAATGCTGACAACTCCCTTTCAGATGCTTAGCAGCTCACCCCTACACTTAGCAGGCATCTATGTCTCAACCCTGTATAGCAGTTTGGCCTACATGTAGAGAAACAGTAAACAGCAGTGTTTAGTGTTATTTCTCATCAACAGTTTGTGTTTCTTATCATGGTTTACAGTCATAAATAAACGTATTGATTTAATCTTCAAAATGTTTAGTTAACCATTTTTACAGGCTCATATTCAAATCATTCCCATTACAAGTTTTCATTGCGTCTGTGCTCCGTGTGAGATTTTCTGTAAACTGTGAACAGTACCATTTATGTGTTGCATTCCACTCTGCATAAATATCCAGTGTCTAACAAACTGCAGGCACTCTGTGTAAAATGTCTACTTAAAGTCAACTGAAATATGTGGGGAGGAATTCTTTGTGTTGCTGAGCAGTGAGTGTATCTTACATTATTTAAAGCATGGAGCTCTCTGCCTTTAGTTCCCCTATATTAGACTGTAATTGGTTCCTTTTGGATGTTTTAATCAGCTTCAGCATCTTAGCTTTAATCTCTCCCTTTTCCCACCAGTGCCCTCTCAAGATTCCCAGAATCCTATAGGCTAGTTGTTATCCCCTGCTATATCGAAAATCGCAGCAAAACCCTGAAGACACATTCATATGAAAGAGAAAGACCAGCGGCACTACACCCAAAACCTGCATATATATACAAATCATATCAAGAAATTCAGTCATTTGCTTTACTCAAATGATTTGCAATGTCTTCCCTTGTTACTGATGCCAGAAAATCACAGAATGCCATGTTATGACTACAGGTGGTATGACTATGATTTACAAACACAGGAATACACAATCACACACTCAGACTTTTCCTTGTTTGTTTTTTTTATGTAATTTATATTGCCATATTTATATTTATATTTATAATGTATTATTTGTTCATTTGATTTGTGCCGATTAGCACAGCATTTCTTTCTTTTCCGTTTCCTCTCTAGACTCAAATATTGTCTTTTCCAAAGCATTGTGTATTTTGTTCAGGTGAACAATGCTTGGTTTAGTTACTCTGACTACTTCAAGTGTAAAAAATCCTCTTTCCAGTGCTGTCAGTGTGCTGACATTTTGTGTCAGCTTTTTATTGTTACACTGTAACCTTAATTCCCCTGGTTTTTCCTGTTTGTAGCAGCAGAGGTGATACTCCTCACCACTTTTTCTGTGTGATTAGCAGAGGAGTTATTGCACTTTTGCACTTCCTGCAGTCTTCAGTAGCAGTAACTCTTGTTTTTGTTTTTTTGTAGTTTCAGTCCTTGGCCTCTTGTCAGACCTCCGTGTGGATGTGGACCTGCACACCCTGCTGTTTGGAGAGAGTGTCCTGAATGATGCCGTGGCCATCGTCCTGACACAGTGAGTGTCTCACATTAGGATTTGTGTCTGCCCTCAGAATGCAGTATATTTCTAGGTTTAATTGTGTGGGAGATCAGTCTTTTTCAATTGGCATTATGGGGGTGGATGTGTGGGGGAGGGAAGGCAGGTGGATGCTGCCAGCTTTAAGGAAAGGGGTGTGATTGGCAAAACCGCATGAGCGCCTCAGATGCTATGCAGTGGACTGCGTAAGCGAGTTGCCCCTGGCACTGTCAGCATCTCATTAAGGTACTCAGTGGAGAGACTCACTGCCAGAGTAGAGACACACTCCCAGCTAACGAACTCAGCTATCACAGCTACTGTCAAATTCAGACAGGAAACAGCATAAAATCCTTGGAAGCTGAGTCAAACAGCCACGATGTAGTCATGCCTTGTCCGTGCATTTCAATTGCTTCATTCATTTCCCTCGACTTTTCCCCTTTTCTCCAGCATTGCACTCAAATATGCATGTTTGTCCTGCTCACACACACATTGCAGTCATTGTCTGCTCTATTTACACGTTGCTAGTGAGCAAAGCCGTTCAAGTAGACGTGTTAACAGATGGCAGGATGGGGAGCAGGGAGATGGAGCTGGGAGACAACTCACACAGGTCCACATTCATGGCAAGGCAATCAGGTGAAAAATGGAAATGGAAAGGAGGTGACAGGGATAAAATCTGTGTCCATATTTGCATATTGTATTCACACAGACTGACACAAAACATGTACAGTACCTGCTCACTCTGACTTCTCTTTCTCCGATCACACAAATGGGCCCAGACAGGCAGGCAGATGGAGAGAAAAGGAGGCGAGTGTGCAGATTGTTGTGTTCATGCCATGGCTGCTGTCTCTGTGTACATTGAAGTGCAGGGGAGGGAGCCTGCAATGTCTTCCCGGACAAACAGTCAGATAGTGCTATGTTTGTTCCTGGAGTGGCGTGACCGGCCTTCATGCCATCTCCTGTCACTTGACTGGCTCGCTAGCCTGCCGGTCGCCCTGGCTCCACATACAAAGCCTGCCCTTATTAGTGAGCCATGCGGGGTCCTGGCACTGGAATTTTAACAAGCTCCCAGAGCAGCTCAACCTTACGCTGATGTGCCCTCTCACAGGCACTAAGCTTCCTGCTCCAGCAGCCCTGACCCAGCCACTATTCAACCAGGTCCTGTGTTGACATCTTGAGATTTTTGACTGGGAGTGAACAACCCGAGATGCCTGAGGGTACAGTCTCTAGTCTAGAGGGTCACACTGACCAAATTATTTAGTGGCCAAATTTAATGTGCCTGCACAATTGGAGTCTTTTTCATGGAGGGGATAATAGATTTTCCCTTTTCAGCTTGCTGAGCTCATTAGCGACAACTTGATTGATTCTTCCCCTTTTGCTGTGGAGATTAAGGCATGTTCTGGTGTGCGCTAGCTCATTTCAACCTGACAGCATGAAAGGTGGAGATACATTACGGGTTCATTTGTCAGACATTTTCTTTGACACTGTAAGGATCTTCAACAAACCATTTTCTTGGTAGCTGGAGTGTAAAGTAGGTTTGAGGTTTGTGTGAGTTGCACCCTGGCTATCAGAAGGTGTGTCTCATAAAATGTAGGAAACAAAAACAACAGCCACCGCTTTGTTTTCTGCTGACTCAATGGTTTGACATTAATTTCAAACTGTCAGAGTCTAAGGGGGATACACAGGGAGGGTCTGTGTTGGGTAAAGAAATGTTGTCATTCCACAAAGGCAGCCAGCTCCATCAGCCACTCGCATGGGTGCCTGTCTCTGCTTGCTTCACCTCAGGCCCTCTCTCTCTCTCTCTCTCTCTCTCTCTCTCTCCCTCCTGCTCCTCCCTGTGAGGCCTCTTTTGCACTCAGTGACTTCCATGTGGAAGTCTTTCCCTTCCCCCCACAAAGTAAATATTTATTGCGGTGTGAATAGCACGATGCTGCTGTCTTTGTGAACAACAATAGTATTTCCCCTATTCCCCACTAACTACTAGGGGACGTCTCAGAGGCAAATATTTCAGAAAGGATTGTTTCTCAGGGAAGGATTTAACTTCTAAAGAAGAAGGCCATGTATTCTTCCGAATGACTCCAATAAATTGCGCTTAAAGGCTTAGCTCAGCATAATAAGCATGTGAATTTATGCTCACTGCTCCAGACCGGTTTACACCAACAACCTAGTGGGCCGTATTTCTGACAACTGCTCTTGTTTCAGAGCCATAAACCATGTTGCTGCTTTAGTGTTTCAACATCTGAAAAACACTCATATTTACTCCTGTTGTAATTGTGCTATTGGCTTCTTTTTGTTACACAACAGTTTGTCTCTTTTTTTTCATGTGTATAACAAGTTTTTTTCCATTATGTTCTGTCAATTTGTTTTCCAGTGCCATCACCACCTATAGCCAGATGGGTGCAGGACACAGCTTTAACCCCCCCGCATTCTTCCTCTCCGTCGGTCATTTTCTTGGAGTTCTTGCCGGCTCCTTCCTCCTGGGTTTCATAGTCACAGTCATAACAGCCCTCATATCCTTTCATCCCCTCCCATCTCTGCCTCTGCCTCTGCAACCCAAACTCAATTATCACCTCAGCATCCGCTGCAATCTATCCACTTCCTCAACTTGGTAATTGCTTCTCTAACAAACCCCCTACTGTACCACCATTATCAACAATAGCAACGTGGCTATTTAGGTCTAAAGTCTAAAGCGCTCCTGCGACATTAATGGTTGCAGAGGAGTCGTCAATCAAGCCAATAGCCTCTGATGAAGTTTCGACTTGCGCTGTTGTCCAGCGTTTCTCTCTGATCTTCTAGTAATAAGACTTTAGGATGAAAAATGAGAATGTGTCATGAGAGGTTTGGGGCACAGCTCAGCTCTTATTTACAGTGACTAATCTCTTGGTGCAAGCAAAGCACTAAGTGAGCATTTATTAGATTTTGCTGATGCTAACCATGGCACCAGCCTGCTCTTTTGTGCTGTCTCTTCAAACAGTAGTTTCTTAAAGAGGTTCACTTTGACAAACAGTAGCTCAGTTATCTTTTAATTAATTGCTGTACCTGTCTGTGTTAATTACAGAAACAATCAAATTTGGGATGGTGGTTTCATTATTGTAAGCCAAAGGAGGATTAAGGGGGGTCAGTAGCGCAGAACAGCAAACTGTAAATGATTAGCAGTCCTAAAATGTTTTGATTTACAATATCTAAACTTACTCATTTTCACTTACTGTGAGACTATCACAAACACAAACCTTCAACCTGTGTTCTTTCTGTGTAACACTGTGTAGACTCTCTGGTCTACAAGGAAGTTTTGCCAGAGGGGATGTGGGACAGTGGAGAAACAGGAGTGGGATGTGGACTTTGTTATCTGTTACTGATCTAGCAGAAAAGATCTCATTTAGACCCAGTGGTTTACTGTACATGGCAGATCCCCTGGCTTAGTGAGCACCTTCTGCAGTTGTGCAACAGTTTTTTGTTTGCAGATGCTGCAGTATTTCGTCACAGTGACGAGTACATGTAGTCTGCCACAACAGTCATAAACTGTATTTGTGTTAAATACCGTATGATTATCCTTGTGTACATCTTTAACTCTCTTTCCACCTCACCAAATTCACTCGGCTGTGTGAGAATCCACTGCTGGAAACATCAGTCTTCTTCTTGCTGTCTTGGAGCAGCTTCCTCTCAGCTGAGGCCGTTGGACTTTCAGGTGAGCGCTGTATGGCTTATATGTTGTTATATATGTGTGTGTGCGTGTGTGTGTGTCTGTGTGTGTGTGTGTGTGTGTGTGTGTGTGTGTGTGTGTGTGTGTGTGTGTGTGCGTGCGTGTGTACGTGCGTGTGTACGTGCGTGTGTGCGTGTGTGCGTGCGTGCGTGCGTGCGTGTGTGCGTGCGTGCGTGCGTGTGCGTGCGTGCGTGTGTGGCCCTGTTGGTGCTCTTGGTGTCAGGGAGGTCAGACAGAATACAAATCCTGTTAGTGAACTGTTGCCCTTTTCCCCTCAGGCGTCCCTTTCCAACTGCATGCACTCACTTGCTCACTACTGCACAGTATCAGTGGCACGAGCAGCTGTTTTATTGGCAAGCTCTGCTGCTTCGAGGCATCTCTGTGACCACTGGCACCCCACAAACCTGGGAATGAAGTGTGCACATTCTTCATTGTCCGGACATGACCATTTGCACAATTTCCTGCTCAAGAACAAATGCAATTTCCTTCTCATTCAACACACACCAGCATTATAAGAAGGCCTTTCCATTACATGCACACACATACCCTCTGAGAGTCCTTGGCATTGTAGTGTGTCAATAACGTACAGATGAGAAAGTATTAAGCCTTCTCCTCTCTACAGGGAACTACAGGTACCAATCCCGTTCTGGGCTCAACCTCCATAACTCATTTTAAAATGGTGTCCACCCTCCTCTGTCTGAGCATGTTCATGCCTTTAGTATGGAGATGGCAGTCCAGATAATGGCATTCTTGCCCTAGCTTTATGCATAGGTTTCCTGGAAAGTCATGAAGTGCTCAGGTCTCATGTAAAAATGGATATAACATAACCAGCCTCACCATTCTTGCCTATGATTTCTCCATCCATTGTCAAGTGGAGGTTGAATTTTTATTTTGTTATATTTTTCAGTTTACTGATTCAAAGTATCTTAAATGTTGGGTAGCTCATGTTTTTGAAAAACAACAATTACTTGGCTCAGCTGCCCGGAATTGTCTTTGTCCATTTCTTAATGTAGTTCTGAAATATGAATGTGGTGTACATATGCACGCATTAGGGTTGTTGTTCCTCCTGCCCTGGTTGTGTCAAAGGAATTGCACTCATTCAACTGATGTTGTAGAGTTCTCTCTTACTTGGCAGTACTCCCTGTGGCCTGTGGAGGAGGAGAAGACAGTTTTAATGAAATAGCATAACCTTTGTCTATTGGACCCAGATGCCCTGTCTATAAAGTACACCACTCTTAATGCTCTCCAGTGTGGGAGGCACACCGCAGCAAAACCAATGATTGTCAATACTATCTGTTGCAGAGTCTCTGGTATTTTTAGTGTAGCTACAACTTGTACTATGCTGCATGTGCTATGTTACCAGTACTAAGGGTAAAAATACTTTCTTTTGACCTTAAACCCGCGGTGTTATAAAACCAACTTTGATGCTGATGATTTGTTACAATATCCTTAAAATGAGTCCTATCGCAATCTTCAATATGCTTGGTACAAAATTGGACCCCACAGAACTTATCTGTGGAGTGCCACTCTGTACAAAGGCCTTTAATGGTCCATTTGGGAGAAGTGGCACCTCATACAGAGCGACCCAGTGAGCGATGCGAGTCCTCCCTGGTGTCCTTTGGTAATTGAGATTCTTTCTGTTAATTGCTGGAGTTTAGTGAGGGTCCGCCTAATGACCCTCAGCCTTGCAGGGAGCCCTGCTATCATTAATCTTATGCCCCTCAAAACGGCTCATTATGGGATGCATCTCATCTGTTGCCAAGTGCCCTGTGTAGGAGACCCTTTGTATGGACTATGGATGATGTGTTACCTCTGTCAGTGTTGTGTAAACCAAGGAGGTTGCCGTTGCCCTAAACCAAATGGAACCAAAATGAGATCTGCCATGCTGGCATGCTCCATTAGACTTTGTTGAACAGTGCTGGAAAGGACATTGTGAACAGGGAGTACTGGAGCTAGCATAGTGCAGGTACAGGTCAGCATCCTAGTGTGAAACCGGATGGTGAAGAGAGAGTAATGGACTAGCTTCACTTAGCAGCCTGAACCACAGGTGCTATCTTTTCTTTGCTGCCATATTTATTACTGCCAGCTCTGTCCTCTAACTAATGCTACCATCACAATAATTTCATATTTTTCCATCTTCTGTGATTCTCTCTCAAAGTAGTGGGAGCAAAAATGTGAAAATTGAATTTCTGCAACAAAGCAAGCATGTCCTGTGAGGCAGCAACCCACCTTTCATGCTATGCGTTTCAAATTCCAGCTCTTTGCTCCAGCCAGCCTCCTCTTTACCAGCAGGGGCCCTAATCACTCCCTCCACCCTGTTTCCCCTCTCTGGGCTGCCTTTCATTGTCTGCATTTCTTTCCCTTCTGTACTTTTGCTTGTCATTTGTTTGCCTTTTGTTAATTTCTGCTCCTCCGCATTTGGCCCGATCCGCAGCAATGATGTCATTCTTTAGCATTTATCAGTCCCAGAGCTTCATGTCTTGGCCAGAAACATGAGGATACTTGAATTGGGTTTTAAAGCACATTTTGATGAAGCTGTTTATTCAGCTGGACTTTCCTGGAACAGGACATTGGGTGGATACAGGGTTGGGCCAGCCTGATCTGGTGTCACATACATTATACTCAAATGCAAAAGTAGCTGCACGCAGGAGGATTCAGTTGGATTCATTGACTTTTTGGACATTTTGACTTGCATTGTTCTGCTAATGTTTCTCACATTGTTACCATCCTTTCCAGGTTTTGTTTGGAAATCATGTTTTTGAGCTAAACTGGAGGTCATTGCATCTCTGGCTTGTGGGTTTTTGAAAATGCTGGGTTGAACCATGCAGATATAGACTATTGGTACTACTTTCAAAAAATCTTTTTGCTATGATGGAAGAGCCTCCTACAGCATATTCTCAACATGAAAACCTCCACGGCGCTGTGTGTTAACCAGCACACAAACATACGCATTCCCACAGCCTGATTGCATAATAAGTGCATGTATAAGCGATTTTGCATACTTTGTACTAATTAGATGCAGCTCATTGTTTAACTCCCTTCTGTCTACAGAACACTCCTCCATGAGTTTTGCCCACAAAGTGTTGACGCTCACTCATTTTCTACTAACAGATGGATGTTTAACATTTTAACAGCTATTTGGTTATTCCCCATTTTGAATTTTATTTCATTTCACTTACATTTTTCTCTATCTTTTCAGGTATTGTGGCAGTGCTGTTTTGTGGCTTAAGCCAGGCAAGGTACACAATTCACAATTTATCCTCTGTGGGCAGGACCAGGACCAAGCAGGTAGGTCTATGGAGGATGATTGAGCCCTATTTCACTGTTGTTTTTCAAACTGCCTTTTGATGCCAATGTTTGTGTCTTGCGTGCGAGCGCAAGCAATCATTAATTGCCATTAGTGCTCTGGTTGTCCAGTGGGTGACTGTGTGGGAAGCCAGTCTCCAGCTATCTGCTTAAAAGGCTGAGCACAGATGGAGGCCAGCACACTGTCATACTGTACCGGCAAGCTTCACAGAGGAGCAAATAAATCAGAAATACACACATATACTCATCTATGCATTTATTATTCATTATTGGTGCCACAGTGGAGCTAACTGTTTATCATAGAAAAGCCTTTTAAAAGGCAATGCAGCACAGTTGAAGCTTTTGCTTATAAAGTGGATTGGCTATGCAGTAGTCAATGCGTATGTATGGTGCAGTATGTTTACTTGGCAGCATGCCTTTATCTACATTTTTATGATTTATACGTGCAGCTGCAGCTCAAAGGAAAAGACAGAAAGTGATTTAGTGTATTCAGACACTAGTTGAATAGCTAGTAGGATAAATATTTTTCAGTGTGGCATCTTGTCCTTGTGTTGCGAGGCTCTTAAGGGAAAAGGTACGTTTATTCAATTTGATATTTTACCAAGCTTTTAAACTAAAGCTGGTGCAACTGATAAAAACAGAAATTAATAAATAATTAATGAAATCATAACATCTGCTCTAATTCAATCCAGATACAACATAAGGATGTTAATAAATATTTAATTTTTGATTCAGAAATGCTTAGAATGATTCAAATTTAGTTTTCATCCACAGTAAACGACATCCAAGCTCTTTGATTGACCTGAATTATTTTTGAAAGTGTAGGATTGAATTGTAATATTCATCTACCAGAAAGTATCATGATAAAGGAACAAGTTATTAGCTGTCTTTTAAAGTCCAGAAAGCTATCTTTTATTCTGTACACGCTTCCTCAAACGGCATGTTTCAAATATAATCCAAACAAAGAAATGATGACAAAAACATATCTGGTGCTAAGTGGAACCACATTATGGCTCGGAGCTGTAGATGTTTGTTGAGGATCAGGGAGTAACATCAACCCTTTGATTTGTCGTGTTTGTACAAATCTAAGCCTGGTTACCCATTTCAGATATGATCCAAGTCCTTTACTTTCACCCCATACACACACAAACACACAAACACACATATCATCATCCACCCCATATCCCTCCCCATCTCGGGTGACCTTGTCCCTCATGATCCTCTCAATCCCTTTTATAATTTGCAGCTCTTTGAAGTCTTCAACTTCCTTGGGGAGATTTTCATCTTCGGCTACATGGGATATATATTGTTGACGTTTCCTCACCATGTCTTCAAAGCCTTCTTCATTTTTGGCGCATTTGTATCCTTTTCTGCTACATGATGGAGCATCTTCACACCCTGCTGTGAAGCCTTTGGATCCCACTCAGACCCCAGAAATTGTGTTCAGTTCTGTTTTGTTCTGTCTATTCAACCTTCTGTCATAATTCTTATTTGCACAATCATCTGCCACTTATTTGACCAGAGTTGTGTTCATGTTTTCTGTCTTGTCTTTCTGCTGCAATGCAGTGCAGTATCTTCCCGACTTAAAAAAAAAACAAAACACCTCAGCACTTAAATTGTACAGGTTTGACACGGTGAGCTCTGCAAATGTCATTCAGCCAGTCTCCTATGATCACCATCTCTGCAGATTAAGATGCTGCAGTGCAGCGTTAGCTCTGAGGAACGCCTATGAAACAGAAATTTAAATGGCTCTTTAATTATTGTTACTGCTGCTTGTTTTCTGTTCTCTAGCAAAACTCAGCGGAATAAAGATGTTTGCCTGTTTGAAATAAGCTTACAGTACTTTAATTTGTAGTGGATTAAGCACTGTATCCCTGTTGAGGTTGAAGATTAAATCTTATTAGTTCTAGAAACTGTAGTGAAAGAGGTTCCTGCTGTTCTTTATGGTATTCCCATCTAATTTCACTAAAAAAATCTCCTCTTAAATACTATTAACACTATTAAATGGCTATTTGTAAAATACTTTTTTTTGCTCGGAAATGTAAGATGTTGTTTTGTGGTGTATTTATCTCATCATTTATTTACTGGCTAAATGTAGAAAAAGAAAATTAACTGAGAAAGAAATGTAATAATCAGTTCTCAAATGTACTAATGATTGATCACCATTTATATACTTTAGTTTAGGCTCTGGGATTTTGTGATGATGAGCATGTTTTCACTATTTTATGACATCTTACAGGCTAAATGATTTTTTGAATAATCAGACAAAATAGTTGACAGATTAAATGATAGTGAAAGTAATCATTTGTTGTTTATCTTCAATGTAGTTTGACAGAAGAAAAAACAGCAATGGTACATGATACACAGAATCAGAGAGCAAGAGCTTCTCAGTCGTAATATTTTGCACCTAGACTCAAAAACCTTGCAGGTAGAAATCAGTTTCTCCTCTGACAGGAGTCTCTGCATGCTGCCACAATACACGTTGTTATCAAAAAGCCACCAGTCCCTTAATGATACTCATTGCATGTTTAAGTTCCACTATCGCAACAGATGTCTCATAGTCACAACTGTTGTTGTATCTGTCAGGTTTCCTTCCTGGGGGGAACGGAGGGGTAGTAATGGACTGCTGGTTACAATTGTCCTTGCCTGAGAGCTGGCATGACCGTAGCGTATGCCTGAGGAGAGGCTCTAGTGGCCGCACTCCAAGGAGCTGTTCTTTCACAGTCCAGTGCCCAGATGGCCAGCAATTATTATTACAATCCATCTTCCACCATAGGGTCAAAGGGAGAGCCAGAGAAAGAGTCAACTGAGCAGATTTTTTTCCATTGCTCTTATGTCCAGTGTATACGACTGCCAGTGAGAAAATGTTTGACTTGAGCGCTGAGCCTGTTTAGCTTTGTCCTGCACTGTGCTTCCATAACAAAAGCTTACAGAGTGAAAAAATCTGGCTAACTAAACCAACTGGAAGCTGACCCGGATCTACAAACAGGAATAAATGGAGGTCAAAGTCTACTTGTACAGTGCTAAAAGTGTCTATAAAAATGAAATAACCCCAGTGATTCAACCCTGTTAATCGCTCTTTGGTTACGCAGTAGATTTTAATCGCCATAGCTCGCAGCCTTTGCCAGTGACAATGGAGATGGGCTTTATTGGAAATGAGGCTCAGATGAAAGTGCTTAATTACCTCCTTTCAAATAGCTCAGAGGCCTTTGATAAAGAGAAATGACTGCTTTTGGTAGCAGGATATTGCTTTTGAAAATCCATAGGGTGCATGAGATCTAATATTGACTGCAGGGTAAGAGGGGGCTCTGTTTTAGTAATAGCCCTGTCAGGCTAAGGTCCCCTGCCTAAGATATTGGCCCCTTATTATTCCAGGAATCATATTTAGACTTACAGTAAAATAGCAAAAATTCCTTCTCCCTATGATGCTAAAGCAGGGGTTCCTGCCTGCATATTTATTCACCAAAATTTGAAGAGAAAAATTAGTTTTTTAAAACAGTATTTAGTAGATTGCCTGATTTCCTCCAGCCCAGCCTCCTCTGGTTTATAGCTGTGATTTTGGTGCCACTAATAAGAACCTACTGAAGGATCTTAGGCTTCACTCATGCACATACGAGAGTAGGAGGTTATATGGGGCTAGAGTAACTTCTTGTAAAAGTTTGACAAAAGATGTTAAGTGTATCCAGGACGGCAGCTATGTCCCCGATAATTGTACAGATATCCTCTCCCTAACTGCTGCCCAGGACACTTAGCATTCAGTCCCATCCGATGTGAAACATCAAAGTGTGTGTGGAGGGCAGAGACAGCTGGCAGAGCCTGATTGGCTCCATGCCTCGGCATGGTGCCACACTGCTGTGTTTGCATCCTAAACAGAAAATATTCTGAGATTATTTTTGTATGTGTGTGCACGTGCTAATATGTTAATATTTAATGGGTATACTTTTACAGGCTGATCTCACAAATAATTTCTACTTCTGTATTTAGTTTGGAAGTTACGTGTATTTTTCTGTATTTTGTGGGGGACTTTTTTAGAATAAATAAAGCAAAACATCAACTGAACATATGATTTACCTTAACCGTAACCTGTACTTCAACCTGTGAGTGTGTCTCAGTCATCAGTATTATCCTTAACCTGTTCTCAATACAAACAGCTCTCTATCATTATATCAAGAGCCTGCAACATCTACCCTTTGTCATTCCTCCTAAACCTGGGACGCACAACCAAGATACCTCGCAACTTCCAGCACTTCATGATGTTTGCAGGTGATGTTCTTAAGATCATAACAGCATTGTTTATTGTGACTTATTTTCATTTGTTGCAACATTTTGCACTTTTGGACCTCATCACTGGCAGCTATTTTAATAAATGCTGGGTTGGGGATGATATTGCTGCAAGAAACTCAAAATCTTACCATCATTTTTCCTATGAAAACTCTCTTCACTGCCTGCAGCTGAGGGCATTCATGAGGATGCTAAGAGAATGTGTCCCCTGTGGAAGAAGTGTGTGTGTGTGTGTGTGTGTGTGTGTGTGTGTGTGCGTGCGTGCGTGTGCGTGTGTGTGTGTGTGTGTGTGTGTGTGTGCGTGCGTGCGTGCGTGCGTGCGTGCGTGTATGCATAAAGTCAGATAGGTGGACACAAAGATGGGTCTCATCATCAGGTTTCATAATGATTCACTACCCTCATTACAGTAGGCGTTTTCACATTAATCGATATCGTCTGAATCTTTTAAGAAGAATCTCAGCCTTTCTATTTTTGTAGCTGTTTTTTGGAGAGGAATAAATAAAGCATCGCCTCACTTTAGTATCTCAGACTAATGGTTGAAGCTCTGGATGGTCTGATGATGCAGGAGAAAGGAATGTTTGATGTGATGTAGGGTAGCTCAGCAGCAGCATGTTCTGCTGCCTGCCTGACCCACTTTACCTCTTACGCAAGAAGGTTTCTTTGTAAAAAGCCCTTGTCTTGCTATTTTTCAAACTCCCCCACCGTCACCACTACCTCCCCCATCTGTTTCCCTGGAATTTGCTCCGGGAACTGTTTCGGCTTTGAGCATTAAGTCACCACTGTACAGCAATCTATAAGTTTGTTTTTGGGGCTGTTTGCTGGTCAGCAACTGGTCGATAATAGTGATAGTCAGAGTGTAATCTGTTACTCATGAACAGTTATTAACTGGATAGCTCTCTCCTGCCTTTTTCAAATAATTGCCTAGTAGATGGTTGTCTGCTGGTTTGATGGATGGCAGTAATCCAGCTGTTTGCTCAGACATGTCTTCTCTGCTCTCAGGCTTGAGAGGGGCTGTGGCATTGAACCTGGCAGCAAGAGACACATCCACGGAAGTGAAGCGCACCATCCTCACAACCACACTGCTGCTGGTTGGCTTTACCATCTGGGTGCTGGGTACGACCGCTGATCCTATGCTGCGCTGCCTGGACATCAGGTTAGTGCTAACACCTCGCTGAGTGACGCAGTCAGTGTGATGCAAGTGAAACCTATCTCTCCATCTCTTTTCACCATCTCCATCTCCCGAACACACACACAGAGAGACACAGCTTAATAGGACTCACACATTAAGTATTCGGCTCACGTAATATGCAACATCTCTTTGTAAAGCGTTTCTCTGCATGTTTGAATTCTGCCTCTCCCTCCTCCCCTTGCTGCTCAGTCCTATACGGGCACTTAGCTCTGTGTGTCTGCTCCGGCTCTGCCCTCTATTAGTGACTTGCACAGCTGATACACAGGGCTAAGCAGGTCTACAGGTCCCTAGAAACATGTTACAGAGGAGATAGCATTAAAATGCAGCTTGCCATGCTGTAAACCAGTGTATACAAAAAAGCACACTGTAGCTATACAATGAGAACGCATAGCGAATGCTGTGTTTTCTTTTAAAGTCTGCGTACTATCTGTGATTCGAGGCCAGTGGGCGATAATGACTAAGGAGTACAGAAGAGGCGTGAAGGATGCAAGGCAGTAATTAGATACTTATATTATTAAAGTGTAATCTATGGCCCAGATCACAGTGGTATAATTGACTCCCACAGTCTTTCGAGGCAGTGCTTTTGAATCTCCAGTGTACGTTTGCATGTCTGTCATTGAAGCTTAGTGTAACTGTAAGAAAAATAGAACAGAAGTAGTAAATGAAAGCACTGGTCAGAAACAAGAAGCTAGTTTATAAAAACCAAATTCAATATAAAATGGAAAATAAATTACAGTATGTATAAACCAGAAAAACATGATAAAATATACAATATGTCCAGTGGATACCCTGGGCCACTTTTGTACATTAAAACACCCTCCCTCAGAGCTACAAAACAGAGACAATGAAGCAATTTGTTATGCGGAACAAAACCTGGAGCAGCTCTATTGTTAATGAATTGCAGATTGGCTTTGGTGATTCAATCTGCCAAGTTGTTTGTTTGAGCTTTTACGGCCAAATAAGCTTCATTTCATTATAATGGTAACATTTATGAACCAGACAAAGAACCAATATCTTTGTAAAATCCCCCAGGACACTGGATTTATGTCCACAAACTTTTGCCTCTTGTTCTTTGTCAGTTGAGCAGCTTAAGGAGTTTTTGCTCTGTTGTTGCTAGATCCTATCTTCATCAAGGCTGGACTGTAAGAATTTAGGGTCTTTGTTTACACATAGCAACTTCAGCATGCGGTTTTTCAGTGAAAACACAAATACAGAAATGTCTAATGTAATATAGCAAGCCGTGTTCTAACATAAGCAGAAGATCATGTGTCCATGTAGAAACCCAATGCTTACAGAAACAGCTGATTGAGAAAATTGGTTTCCAGGGCCTTTAAATTAGCACATAGTGCCTGATTGTGCAGCCGAAATAATAATGAAAATGCATAATGTGACAGATATTTTATTAAAATATATTTATTGGTTTAATTAAATTTTTATGGCCCAGAGCCAGCGTCCATCCGCCCGTCTAACACGATAACTCAGGAAGAGAGAGGGAATTTCTTCAAACTTGGCACAAACATCCACTTGGACTCATGGATGAACTGATTAGAATTTGGTGGTCAAAGGTCAAGGTCACTGTGACCTCACCTTCTGGCCAAAACTGACCATATTAACAATTGGTTGGATAATGAATTGGTGACACTTTTGAATCAAAGGTCACTGTGACCTCAAAATGACTTGGACAAACACATTTTTGGTCACAACTCTAGGACTGATATTGTAATTATGACCACATTTTCACACAGATGTCAAAGGTCAACCTCACTGTGACATCACAACATCCTGGAAAAACCCTTTTTTGCCCTTTAATCAACACCATTGCTCAGGAGCAGAATGGGAGCTTGTGACCATATTTCACAGTTGGTCGGACACTGAATTGGTGACACTTTTGACTCAAAGGTCATTGTGATCTCAAAATAGATGTCATACACGTTGACTGGGACACCACAATGAATGAAAAACAACTGGCACAGTACAGGTTTCCATCTTTCCATCTCATCCATTCAGCCTTTCACAGGAGTGTCAACAGAATCATTTGATTGCCAACAACATATTGTCGTGATCCAGTATGTGAGTGAGTGAGTTTCACCTACAGCTGACAAAGAGCACCACATTTTGTATAGCTATACCCTATATAAGAATCCATCTTGGTGTAATAATCAATTACATGTGTAATTTATATTCACTGGAATCATACATATGTAACATTAATTTAGTGATAACTTCCATTTAGCCAAAAAATACACTTATCATATACCTATTTACAATTGCTTCCAAGTATTAACCACATATATTATATGAATCTGTGCAGACATGGATGTAGACTGCGACTTGACTGGTTGGTGGAGGCATGTAACTGCAGCGCAGTAATTCTAGTTTTAAATCATTTACCAGCCCTTGGCATGCAGTATATGCCAAAGTCTTCCAATGAATCACTATCGGAAACCCTTTTCCTTTACACTTCTTGACTTCTACCTCATACCTAACATCCTTGCATGTATGTGTGTGTGTGGATACAGTACATCTGTACCTGTGGATATCTGTCCTGAAAAATGCAACTGCCTTTGACTGCAAATTTATATCCCCATGACACTGCTGTCTTTGTGGGTAGTCATCCCATCACAGTACACACTGCGTCAAGCCTTCAGGGCTGTCATGTTTCAGAGAATAGCTTTGTTTTCCTCACTTCCCAAACTCCCACCTCGACTTCCCTCCTCATCTCTCTTCCCTCTTCCCAATTGTATGTAAGTGAAGGGACAAGTAACAGCTTTGAAAGACTTCATTTCGGTGAATAATACATTACATCTCTTCACCTGGAGCAAATTTAACTTTCATTCCATCTCTGAAATGGTTTTTTGGAGGAGTCTTTGAAAGTTGTACTCTGTGTGAAATTACTTCGGTAATTTTTTTCTTTTTACCCCTATAGCTACCTCAAAAGACCTACCACTGCAGGCATCAAATAAAAGAGGTAGTAAAAAGTCTTTTGTTTCCACTCTGTGAAATTTGTTCATGAAAGCTGGTATCCCCGATGATGTGGTGCCTGGTGTATGTGTGTGGGTGCAGTAAAGCGGGCCACCCTGAACTTTCACACAGTAAAAACAGGAAATGGTGATGATTATCTTTTTCCTTCAGTCTCATGTACCTACATGTATTTTGCCAGAGATGTCTAGTGCAAAAACTGAAGAGGGATATGTTCTCATTCATCAGGTGTTTACAGATTGGAGTAGGCAGCTGGTCATGTGTCATGTGGGTCAAGTTTCAAACCACAAAGTGAGCACCAGAATTCAAGAAGGAAAAAGAAACTGAGCTTTTGAAAGTGAGGCCCAAAGGAAAAAACATCAACAACAATCTTGGCAATATAGGATGGCATTGTTGTTCCACTATTCTGCTATCTTGAGACTCTCACTGGCAGCCACTCACACACACAAACTCATTTATACAAACACTCACTCAGAAATGCATGCCGTGCAGGGGTGAGCTGAGCTCAGACAGATGAGCTGTCTGTCACACTGTAATGTAAAATTCATGTGTTCGATGTTTAGATAGATAGTTAAAGCTCACACCAGACGAGAACTACATAGTAAAAAAATACTGCCTCAGTTTCAGTCAGACATCAGGCTTCAGACAAAATGTGCTTTTAAAGCAAAGACTGTCTGCCTGTCCTGCTCTTGCCAATTCCTCTCTTTTCCTCTCCATTTCAGTCTCAATTTCAAGGTACATTATTGCCCACACTTGAGAGTTTCATCATGCCGCTGCAAAATAAAGTGATTATTTACACTAAATTGCATACAGTAATGAAAATACTATTTTCCTGTATTGTGCAATTGATAGTAATTACTGATATATCTAAACACAACTCACCATGAAACTGGATAATGGTCATTTTTCTTTCCTCTGGTTCTCCTCTGCATTGTCGTGCCTGTTGGTTAACACCAAGCTCAATCTCCGGGGGGGACATTTGCTTTCCAGTGCACAAACCCACACACTTGTCAGTTAATGGTAGTTTTACTCAGCAGGAGGCAAAAACAAACTTTGGAAAAAATTATACCCATATGAGAGAAATGTCCAAAGTGAAAAAGAACTATGAGAACAATAATTGTGTAGAAACAAACATAAAAATGCAAATGCGAGCTCAACCAACCAACCACAATTTGTTGAGGTGTCCAGAGATAAAAGCTCAACCTTGGTGCAGTGCAGCACAGTCTGGAAAAGAGCAGGATGAATATATCATTAAGTGTGACCAATGCTTTCTCAGCAGGGGGGGGTTGAGTGGATTTCAGTTATAGCCAATCAATTAAACTCGTTTTTAATCTGCACAATTAGTGCAAGTCTGATATGTTCTGTAATTGAATTAAACATTTTGCCAATATGTATATCCTTATAGGTTATTATTGAAATATATGTTAGGATTTATAGGAAAGGATTCCCTTTAAATAATCTTACATTAACTGTTTGTAGTATACACCGATCAGCCATAACATTATGACCACCTCGGCACCCTGGTGGTCGTTGCCCATTTTTCATGCTTCTAACACACCAACTTGAGGACAAAATGTTCACTTGCTGCCTAATATACTGCTGATATATAGGTTGAGCAGCATAGACTGCCTATGTCTCTTCAAGCCCACCCTTGTTTGGAGCCATGAAATAACTAAACAGAGGGGAAAACGTTTTCTTGTGGCTGATGAAGCTGGCAATTTGCCAGCATTTATGCCTCCATCAGCTTTGAACCAGCATGGAAAATAACTATGTTTGTTTTTGTGTTCAGAGCCACTATTTGTGGTTGTATGCATGTTGATATGATCTCTCCTTGAGGCTTTATCAGTCCTTACAGTTCTGTAGTATTAGTGTAATACAGGCCACTCACACTCTTCTGAAATTCACCAAATTAAAAACATTGCAAAACGCTTTTTATTAGTCTAATTCAAATCTGAGGATTAGTTTTATGCCCAATTTAAAGATAC